CAGCTTTCCTTCTTTCAGGAATGTAATAATTGCATCCATCCATCTTGGTCCCATGTCTACACACATTGCTTCGCGCTCTGTGGTCAGTGGTTCAATGCTTGGGCCCGACAAGTAATCAACCATTATGGTCCTTACTTTTCTAGGTTGTACCGCACTAGCTAGGTTGGCCAACGCATCGGCGTGGATGTTATCATCTTGGCTTACCTGAAGTAGTCGGCTGTTTTGAAACAAGGCTGACAACCTGATGGCCTCCTTTACGTAGGCCGACATTCGTTCATCTCGGGCTGCAAACTCGTCTGTTGTCTGGTTAACTATCAGTTGTGAATCACAAAAACTATTACCTTATCTGCTTACACTGCTGCTGCCAGCTTCAGCCCTGCAATGAGTGCTTCGTATTCTACTTCGTTGTTTGAGGCTTTGAACCCCAAACGAATGGACTGTTCCACTATCTGTCCATCTGGAGATATCAGCACTACTCCTGCCCCCCGCTCCCTATTGGTTTGAACTCTCATCAACGAACAGTCGAAAGGAGTCGCCGATGTAAATGCTGCAGGGTCTGAGTTTTTCCTCCTTTCTTTGTTCTTTCGCCTTTGGCTGAGCTTCTCCTTGCTTGTTTGGACATCGTTCACCCTGGCTCAACGGAGCCCGATGTTCGATGGATTCTGGCGTGAACTCGGCCACGAAGTCGGCCAGAACCTGGCCTTTGATTGCTGTCCTTGGCCTGTACTCCAGGTCATACTGGCCTAGGGTGACTGCCCACCTGGCTATTCTTCCTGTCAGGTCTCCTTGTTGTAGTAAGAACTTTAAGGGGTGTTCTGTTAGCACCATAATTTTATGGGCCTGGAAGTAATGGTTCAACTTCTTTGAAGCCATTACCAAAGCCAGTGCCAATTTTTCTAAGGGTAGATACCTCGTTTCTGCATCGGCCAGGGTTTTGCTTACATAGTAAACAGCCTTTTGTTCCCCTTTGACTTCTCTGACTACTACTGCGCTTATTGCATGCTTTGAAATGGCTAAGTATAAAAATAGCTCCTCTCCAGGTTCTGGATTTGAAAGGATTGGAACTGTGGTCAGATACTTCTTTAGGTCAGCCAAGGCGGCCTCGCATTCTTCGGTCCACAAGAAGTCTGTGGCTTTCTTCACTAAGTTGAAGAAAGGTCTGCACTTGTCTGAGCTTCTGCTGATGAATCTATTCAGGGCTGCGGCCCTTCCAATTAGCATCTTCACCTGTTTTGCCGATGCCGGGCTCTTCAGTTATAGGATGGCCTTGATCTGATCTGGGCTAGCCTCAATGCCCCTTCTGGTCACCAGGTATCCCAAAAACTAACCAGATCCGACTCTAAATGCACACTTCGAGGCATTGAGTCGAAGCCGATATGTCTTAAGGATTTCAAATACTTCTTTGAGGTCGGCCAGATGTCCTTCGGGTTCCTTGGTCTTCACGACCATGTCGTCGATGTAGACTTCTACCGTTCTACCAATTAGATGTTTGAACATCTTGGTTACCAACCTTTGGTAAGTCGCTCTTGAGTTTTTCAACTCGAAAGGCATCACTTTGTAGCAGTACAGTCCTTTAGGGGTGATAAACGCAGTCTTTTCTTCATTTGGGGGGTACATGACTATCTGATGGTACCCCTTGTATGCATCTAAGAAGCTTATCCTCCCATGCCCCGAAGTGGCGTCTACCAGCTAGTCAATCTTGGGTAGAGAAAAGCTATCTTTGGAACAGGCTTTGTTTAAACTGGTAAAGTCTATACAGACCCTCCATTTACCGTTCTTTTTCTTTACCACTACTGTATTCGATAGCCATGTCGGGTAATTTACCTCTCGAATGGCCCTGTCCTCGAGAAGTCTGTCTACTTCTTCTTCCACTGCTTCGACGTGTACCATCGTCGGTCTTCTTGCTCGTTGAATTATAGGTTTGGCTGACCTGTCAACGTTCAGCTTATGGCAAGTAACCTCAGGGTCAATGCTTGACATTTCGTAAGGCATCCACGCGAACACCTCAATGTTTGCTCTAAAAAAAGCTTCCAATTCTTTTTCTTCTTCTTCAGCTAAGCCCGAGCCGAGAAGAAAGAAGCGTTCTTCATCCCCTTCCTGGACGAGGATTTTCTTCAGTGCTTCTTCACTCTTCTCGGATGGCTCCTTGCCGACATCTTCTAGGACCTCCACGTCCTCGTCTTCGATCTCTGCTTTTTCTGGTTCTCGAATGCTGCAGGTGGATTTCATTGCTGCCATGGAGCAATTTTTTGTCTGCAGCTGATCTCCTCTGACCTCTTCAATCCCATGCTCTGTTAGGAACCGCAATAGTTGATGCAGTGTTGAGGGAACAGCCCCCATTGCAAGCAACCATGGCCTTCCCAAGATAATGTTGTAACGGGAGGATGTGTCGATTACGGTGAACTCTATTGTTACCTTCCTAGTGCCCGCCTGCACCTCCAAGCTGGTTGTTCCCAGTGGCCATGTCGGCGTTCCATTGAACCCGACCATTGGGCTATTGGATTGCTCCATATCGTCTGGGTGAAGGCCGAGCTCCTTGTAACATCGAACGTACATGATGTCGCAAGAGCTGCCTTGGTCAATCAGGATGCGTTTTACTTGGCATTCCCCAACCTGGAGGGATACTACCAAGGCATCATTATGCGGATGCTGTACCATTTCAAGGTCGGCTTCTGGAAAGGACACTAATGGTCCTTGGTGCTCCTCTGCCCGATGTCTCTTCTCCCCGACTTGGTAGACATATTGCAGGTGCTTCACCTTCTGGGTCTCTTCCCTAATTTCGTTCTCGTTGACCTTCGAGTGAATCACATTGACTACCCGAGGTCCTCCTGCCTGAGGTTGTGGTGCTGGGGGAGGCGGAGTTGCTGGCGCCTGAGGCAATCTTGCCTGTTCTTCCCTTGTCCTGGCCTCATCGATGAGGTCTCTCAGATGGCCTTGCTTCACTAGTTCTTCTAAGTGTGTTTTCAGGGCTCTACAACCCTGAGTCGTGTGCCCATCTTCATTGTGGTAAACACAATGCCTGCCAACATTCCTTCCCATAAACTCTCCTGGTGCCTTCGCTGGTGTTCTGAAATAGGGTTGGTTCTGAATCCGGTCCAGGACTTTGGGAATCGGGATTCGGAACACAGTTGTTACTGCCTGTGTGGCTCTCAGAAGTATGCCAGAGCCGTTTCCTTTCTCTTGCTTTATCTCCTTAGTCCTCGACGTGTCTTCCTCGGCTCTGGCATACTTCTCGATTCTCGCCATGAGCTCTTCCATACTTTTTGGCAATGTCTTTGCCAAAGACTTTCGTAGTGGACAGTTGTCTTTTAGGCCATTCTTGAAGGATACGACCGCCACCTCTTGATTGCATTCGGGTATTCGGTTGAACACCTCATAGTATCTTTTTGCATAGGCCCTAAGGCCTTTATCCTTGCTGATCTTCAGGGCCATCAATGCGTCCACCCTTAATGGCTGCAGCTTGTTTGTCATGAACCTGGCCACAAACATCTCGGCCAGGCCTTTCTAAGTCTTCACGCTTCCTTTTGGTAATTTGTAGAACCAATCTGATGCAATCTCCCCGAAAGATGAGGGGAACACTTTGCAGAGCAACGGCTCGTTCCCACTATACAATGCCATTGAGTTCAAATATAATCCAACGTGAAAGTTGGGGTCTGACTTACCATTGTATATTTGAAACCTCGGCATACTGAATCTTTTCGGCGCCTCAAACCTGTCTAATTCTACCGAGAATGGTGTCCTCGGCTTATCTGGGGAGGTTACCTCGGCGTCGGTATTCTGTTGCTTCCTCTTGAGGTAATCTCTTAAGTCCTCCTTCGTCCGCCCAAGAGCTCAGCTATCTCCTACTTTCAGTCTTTTTGGTGCAGTACTTTCAGCTTCGTGGTGAGTCCTTTTCGACCCTTCTCTATGAGTTGTGTCGAAGCACAGTGCCTGCCCCTAAACATGCCGATGTTCTTTGGGGTCTGCCTCCTTTGTGCGATGCGTCCTCCGTGATTTTTCTCTTCTTGACTCTCTTCGTCTGACTTCCTTAGAAGGTTGGTGAGAGTATCTTTCGCTCCCGTTGTACTGAGGGGCTACGGGGATTGTTTTCTGCCCTCCCTTCTGGGCATTGGCCACTAGAATCGGCGTGTCCTGCAGCGGGAACGGTAGCTGCATGACGTTATTTTGCATCATGAAATTGACGACTGACTGTAGGTCTTCCAATTTGTTTGCCATCTCTTTTACCTCTTCGTCCCTCCGTAGGCACCTATCCTTCCATACCTGGAGTTGTCCTCGTTGTAATATCCACTTCGATCTGGTTTCTTTGGTGAGTCGCCAGTCTGGCCGACGTCTTTCACTCCGTGATTCTGGTCACAAGTTTCTGCGTTGCATTCGTCTCCTGTGATATCAAGGTCAATAGGTCTCCCACTCCCAGCAGGAGTGTCGTCCCCAATCTTTTCCTTTTGTCTGTTACTGGTCATCTATTCTCCTTTCTTTCCAACAGACGGCGCCAAATTGTGTGAGTGATTTTCTGATCATACTGTCCAACTCAGTATTCAGCTGGAGAACACTGGTAGAATAGATGACACCTGGCTAATCTGCAACAGAAAGAGAAGATTCCGACGGTGGTTCGTCCACCCGGGGGCACTCCGACGATCAAGTCAGTATATCTCTAAAAAATAATCAATAGTGTGAAACTCACTATTCAGAATATAAATTACGTACCTTGGACCCATGGGGGTGTCTTTCTTTTATAGGCAACACAATCCTAGTCCCAATAGGAGCCTAATTCTAATGAACTTAGGATTACTGTACCTTGGATCCATGGGGGTGCCTTTCTTTTATAGGCAACACAATCCTAGTCCCAATAGGAACCTAACTCTAATGAACTTAGATTACTGCTAATCTTAGACTTCCAGTAAGATTGGGATAAACTCTCTAAGAGCCTTATCATTTTCTAACTGAAGTTTTCTCTCATTCTAGGACTCTTGTCCCCAACAATTGACTTGCTAGAAAAAAAAAATACACAACTGACCGAACCAATGAGTCTTTCAAGCAAATTGTTGATAAGATGAAGATGGCAATGTCATATGTCCACATATATGTATAAGCGATGTTTGTGGAATTGGAAACCTAACTGGTAAAGCAATATCATATGTCCATTAATATATATATATATATATATACACCAGAATGTGTAATTGGAAACCCAATTGTTAATTTTGGGATGAATTAAGGCAGAGGAGAGGGTCCATCGTTGAAAATGAGAAAGTATTTGTATGAGGGGTATTCCAATTCACACATCATCCAGCCCTCCACCGCCCCTACCTCCCTTAGATCCACCTCCATCCAGCCCCACTGCGCCATCACTATCGTCCTCCATCACCCCATTCCCCAAATCCATATTTTCCAGCGAAACCTCCTCTCCCTAGACCCATCATTTTTGGCGACCCCCTTGCCCTTTGTAGATCCATCTTCTCCAGCAGAGAGAGAAGCAGATGGAAAGCAAAAAGGGCATATTCATATGTGACAAGGTGTATGGTAAGTTTTATGATGTGTGGTTTTGGTGTTATTGGTATGGTTTTGTGGTTCTACTCTATTATCTTTACTCATTTTCTCTCGTTTCATTTTTATTCTTCTCTTACATTTTTTTCTACTTACTTTTTGTAATCATTTTAATCTCAAGCCTTGATGTAGAGTTTTTTGTTTTGTTTTGTTTTGTTTTGTTTTGTTTTTCTTCAGATCTGTTCCCGACCTTTATTTCCGGAGCTAGTTTAGGGTTTTGAGCAAATATTGTATTTTTTTTTTTCATGGAACTACAGGCTTTGGATTTGTAGGTTGCTTATTTATATAGATATTTATTACTATTTGTTCCTGGGTTCACGCTTGGATCATTGTCTGTGTATTTGTGGTACACAATAGATACATACGTAATAATACTAATGCTTTGTATGACTGGACATTGCTGCTTGCAACCTAAAACAAATAGATGTGAAAACTTGGCAAAGGTAAATGGCTACAAGAGCCACAGATTTACGTGAGGCCCTGTTGCTACAAGCATCTGTCCTGGGGCCATTGGCACATACATAATTTTCCGAAAACTTGTCATTGGCATAATTTGTAAGAAATCCTCTTTATGCTTATTATTTTTTTAGTCATAGGCCTGAAATTGTAGGTTGTATATGCTTCCTTTCACACCTGTGTGAAAGCTGTAGTGTTTGATGGAATTCTTTTTCGAACTTTGGTTGTAATTAGCTCAAGAGGGCTAAGGGAAGAAGTAACAAGAGGGGAGGTAGCCAAGGGTGCTGTAAGGGTAGAGGAGCTGCCAAGAGGTATGATAGAGAGAGATGTAAAAGATATCATTGAGCAGAAAGTCCATGGGACTTGGAGCTTATGGATTCAATTATCCTTGAGCAGGGGTCTTGGATATTGATGTTGGATTATCGATGTTTTTGATCTCACCATTGTATTCTCAATTGGTCTCGGTGTGTGCTGAATCACATCAAATATTTGTGTTTCTCTTGTGTGCGCGTGCATGTGTATTTATTTTAAGCATTCTTCCACTAGCACATGGAACTTGTCTTCTCAAGAAATAGTGTCAAACCAATAATTTATTATTATTTGAGGATGTGATATTTTTTCCCCCTTTAATACAGTACATGCATAATACTGCAAGGGCATGTTTGATTAGGTGGATTAGAGTATGGGATTGAGATTATTAATTCGTGGACCTAATTATCCTATGTTTGTTTTAATATTTTGGTTTAGGATTATTAATCCAATGGATAATTAATCCAACAAATTTGTAGGATTATTAGTAATGGGATAGGGGTGAGATTATTAATCCAATGGAAATTAATCCAATTGGATAGTGAATACCACACTAATTTAATAGGATTATTAATACTTCACTATTAATCTTGTGAATCAAACATGACCCAAGAGTACAACATTTATCATTCCAAATTATTGGAGTTAGGAAAGGGGTTCATTCAGTTATCTTCAGTTGGCATCTCTTGAGGAGTTAGGAAAGGCTTTGGAGGCATTTGCACAAGTTCAATATTTCCTTCAAGCATTTCTACAACTTTATTCATCGCAGGACGATCATCAGGCTTCATTTGTATGCACCATAACGCTGTTATTATCATTTTTCTTATCATCTGCCTTTCTTCCTCTGTGCTCTCTCCCATTTCCACGTCCTTGCCTTCTTTAAATTGGTCATAAACCCAAGAAGGGAAGTAAATTTGGCTTGTATGATCAGCAAATGCATTTAAGTTTCTCCTTCTACCTGCCATTTCCATCAACAACATTCCGAAACTATAAACATCAACTTTGTAGGAAACACGTCCAATGTTTTTGTAGAACAATTCTGGAGCCATGTAGCCCATTGTTCCTCTTGCTGCAGTCACGTACACATTGCTATTATCTGTTGGAAACAATTTCGCAAGCCCAAAGTCGGAAACTTTTGAGTGAAATTTTTGTCTAAAAGAATGTTGTGAGGCTTGATGTCAAAATGTAAAATTTGCATGTCACAACCCCGATGCAAATATTCAATCCCACGGGCCACGCCAAGAGAAATCTCATACATTTGCTTGTAACTCAAGGAGATATTTCCTTCTTGGGAAAAAATATACTTTTCAAGAGACCCATTAGGCATGAAGTCATAGACAAGAGCACGCTTAAATCCGTCAGCACAAAATCCGATTAGTTGTACCACATTGACATGATGAATTCTTCCAATGGTAGCAACTTCATTGATGAAATCTTGGCCATTAGCTTTGCGCTTATTTAATATCTTTATTGCCACAATATGATCACTCCGAAGTTTTCCTTTGTATACACAACCAAAGCCTCCTTCCCCCAACTTGTCCTTGAAACCTTTGGTCATTATCTGAATGTTCCAATAAGAGTACCTAATAGGCATGAGGTTATTCTGACTTTGCAAGAAACCTTCAATGGTATCAAACATTGATAAATGCCTTGTCCGAAACTTATAGATTAAAAATGCGAATAAGCATAGCATCCCACAAAATGTTCTAGCTCCAAGAATAAATCCTGCCCAGGGAGATCAAAACATGAACAAATAAGAAAGGAAAAAAGAAAAAGAAAAAGACCTTTGTTTTTCTCTACCAATAGAATCGTATGTTGAATTCTTCCAGCTTTTATCATTGGATTTTGGTTCGTATAAGTTCTTAAGATTTTCAAGCTTAACAGTAGAAGGAAGAAATGTTACCTATGATTGTGAGCAAGTAAATGACATCCGCTGAAAGAAAAAATGTACCAAAGATTCAGTGAAGTGACTAAGGCAATTAAAAAAAATAAAAAAAGAAATGAAGAAGCTAGTCAATCTAAGGAAGAATTTATAGGCTTTTAACATTTAATCAGGTGATTGAAGGCCTTTAGACTTGAAAAAATTTTACAAGAAAATTTTAGTTCTAACACGGAGGAATAACGTTATTGTAATACATGTGAAGACGTTTAAAAAACGACTTGTATTCCTTAAACGGTACCGTTTTAATCAAAATAAAATGCGACGTTTAAAAAACATCGTTAAAGGTTAGAAACAGTGGTGTTTAAAAGAACGTCACTAAATAAACGCCGTTAAATTTTATATTTCCTGTAGTGTAAAAACAAAAACAAAAACTGAGGAGATAGTTGAATTTAATGTTTAGCACAACATATCCTAATTTCTCAGTATGTTCATAGTTTCTCTCTCTTTATATCAATTTTAAATTACTTAGCATATGTATAATAGAAAGACTATATGCAATCAAAAATTCATTGAGGACTCCAAACCCTAAAAATGAATCTATGTCATGTGGCAGCCTTACCTTTTTTGGCCTCTAAACATCAGTTTAGGTGCCACTTAAATTACAGAATGAAAAAATAAATAAATAAATGCACAGAAATATGCAAAAAAAGAAAAAATGTACACATAAACTATGTGTGGATCAGATTTAGTTTTGTTGTGGTGGGTTCACACACAGAATTTTCCTGGAAACATTTATTTATGTGCTTTATTTCTCTGTACCTAGTATTCCTCTTACAAAAAATATTGATAAATCTCTCTTTCTTAAAAAATTTTGTTTGAAGAAACCATTACTCATGTTAACTAACAAAGTTTTGGACTAACATCTTTTTTGTATTTGAATTTTGGATTTTCGTAGTAATTAGAAGTGTACAAAGAAACTCAAAAAATTGACCTCTATGCATTGGTTTGGTTTGGTTTTTTTCAATATTTTGGTTCGGTTCTATGTCTTAAAATTGTGGACTCAATAGGATTAGTTTGGTTCTTAGTTTAGACCATGCTTAAATCGACCCACCCAAGACTCAAACCTATTATAAAATTATATTTATGCTAAGTTGCTTTCATATAATTAGCATGAAGCACTACTAGAAAATTGACTTTTTGCGTCTACTTTTTTGTGACCGTCTATTTAACCGTAGCAAAAAATATGATAACATTTTTCAAGGTTTTTATTTTCCCTATTTTCTTTTATTTATATTTGCCCTAGTCTGGCACTGGCTTGCTCAAACTCTTCTCTTGACATCGTTCTCTTTCTCTTGCTCGCCCATCGTCGTCTGAAGAACAACGGTATGAATCTCTCTCTCTCTCTCTCTCTCGATCTGTCAATATCTCTTGATCTCTCTCGCATACTTTCTGTATATACATTTGCTAGGGTTTGGATCGATGCATTCATCTGCCCTTCGCGATTTCTGTTCTTCAATTTATGTTCTTTGCGATTTCTTCTTATGATCGACGCCTTCAATATTATTTGGAATTCTGTTCTTTGCAATTTCTGTTTTTCACGATTTCATGTCATTTAGTTTCAATTTCTAGCATAGAATCGCATTCTACTTGGTGTATTGATGGATACACAGCCTTTACCTATTGTACGTCCTTTTGCGCAGGAAATTTTGGTATATTTATTAAATTGTTAAGCTTCAGAATTTCATTATTTCATTTGATTACTCAAACAATTCCTCTTTCTGATCAATTGCATATATTCTTCAGTATGCAGAGTACACTGACTGCTATTATTCTGGAGATGATAAGAGTACTGCCCTAACTAGTAGAAAGGAAATGGTATTTATGGCAAACCTCTGTGCATTTCAGTTTTGGCAACGTGTTTACAAGGTAAAGTAGTTTGTTACACTTGAATTTCTGGAAGATTGTCTTTCTCAATGGAATTCGGAAATTTATTCGTTTGTCTACTTCTTAAAGGATAAGCTCCGTCTTGATCAGCTGAAACAACTTTTACACTTTGATGAGATGAAAGCTGCACTAATGTTGGCCCCTGAAGAAGAATGGTGTTCTTTCCACAATCTCGTTCAGCCATCACTAAACCATGTCGCAGAAATATGTATGGGTTTAACAATCTCATGTATATGCAACCATGATTTGAGTTTTATCTCACGGTGAGTGTGTTTTTCTGCAGATGAAGATATACTAAATTCAGTTCACCGCTTTCGACCCAAATTTCTGGCTACAGCTGATGGTCTACCATTGTATTATGAGCCTTACGAGTTTCAACATACACACTACAAGAATTAACACATTTGCCGACCAAAAAATTGGTCGGCAAAAGTCTAATTTTTGGTCGGCAAAACATATTCCCGACCAATTTTTTTGGTCGCCAAGTTGGTCGGCAATTGAGGGTCGCGGAAAGTAATTAGCGACTAAAAAGATTTTTAGTCGGCAAAACATTCTATTTGGCGACTAAATTGTTGGTCGCTAAACATATAATTATTGCGACTAACCTATTTAGTCGCGAAAAGACTTTGGTCGGCAAAAATTACATTCAACGACCATACATGTTAGTCGCTAATTTGGTCGGCAAAAATTATTTTCAACGACCAACAAAATTGGTCGGCAAAAATTACATTCCACGACCATACATGTTAGTCGCTAATTTGGTCGGCAAAAATTACTTTCAACGACCAACAAAATTGGTCGACAAAAATTAAATTCCACGACCAAAACTTCTTCGTCGCTAAATAATAGTTTCTACGACCAAAAAAATTGGTCACTA